TAAAACAACAGACATCTATTGTCTCATAGTTCTGGAGGCTAGAGGTCTGAAATCAAGAATTGGTGGGGCCACGCTCCCTCTGAAACCTCGGGAATAGGGTTGGGGGGTGAGAATCCTTCCTTGCCTATTCCCAGCGTGTGGTTGCTAGTGACCCTTGGCCTTCCTTGGCTTCTATCTGCGTCCATCATACATGGCGTTCTCCTTCATAAGTCTCTGTCTCTGTGTCTCATCTTCTCTTCCTATAAGGTCACCAGTCATATTGGGTGAAAGGCCCACCCTACTCCAGTATGACCTTGTCTTAACTAGTTGGATCTGCAAGGACCCGGTTTTCAAATAAGGACACATTTGGAGGTCCTGCGGATGAGAACTTCAATGTATCTTTTTTAGGGATACAGTTCAGTGTATTATAGACTCCTCTTGGCTGGGACAGTTTCTCAGACTTCCAGTAGTTTTGATCACCTTAACAATTCCAAGCAGTATTGGTCAAGTGTTCTGTAGACTATCCCTCAATTGGGATTTTTCTGATCTGTTTCTCATGATTTTAGGCTGGGGTTATGAGAGGAATGGAGGAAGAGTGCAGAGATACAGTGCTATTTTCATTAGGACATATCAAGGTCATATACTATCAACATATTAACTGTGATCACCCAGCTGGGGTAGTGTTTTTGTTAGGTTTCTCTACTCTAAAGTTATTTTGCCACCCCCCCCAGCTCCCCCATTTCCATACTGTACACTTTGGAAGGAAATCACTATTTGCACCCCACACTTAAGGGAGGGAGAATTATACTCTATCTCCTTTAGAGCAAATTATTTATATAAACCATTTGGCATTCTTCATGGGAGATTTATCTATTCTCCCCCATTTACTTATTCATTCAATAACTTACGCATGTAAGTATACACTTATGGATATGTATTTTATACTTTGGGTTGCAATCCAATTCTGTTTTGCTTTGTTGTTCAAAGTGTTCTTGCTTTGGTCATTAGAGCTCTTCTAGTTGGCTCCTGTGTCCCTTTGACATACCCCCCATCACTGTGTGTGACTACCTTACTCTCTGGAACAACATACTCCAGGTTCATCTTGTATATTTTCTGTGCTAGTCCTGGAATCAGCCATTTCTTTAAGGAGCCCTCGTTCCTTTTATTGAAGAATGGTGTTAGAAACCAAAATCTGGACATTAGGTGTGCTTGTTGCTACTGGGGTGTTGGTGTTTGTAGGTTGGTCCACATTTTTAACCTTACTGTTTTAGTTTTCTTGCCTGTAAAAAGGGGAGAAGAGAATAATAGTACTTTGTGAGGATAGATGAGAGAATTATGTAAGAGCTTAGTGTGGTCTCAATCAGATAGTGAATGTTCAGAAATGTTAGTGATTATCTCCCACAGAACTTTTTATATTTGAGCTACATTTAGTTTCCAGCGTTCTTTCCTATATGGTAATTCATCTTATTCTACAACCCTCAGACAGGTAGAGCAAAGATTTTTCTGCCAGTTAATGGATGGAGAAATTAAGTGGATAAGAGAGTCAACCTATGCTGCACTAGAACCTAAGTCTCTTGGTTTCAAGACCTATTCTAGACCCAAATTGGCCACCATCTCTGCCACATGATCAGTATAGATTTCTCTAATTTTACCTATCATTGCTTGAAGGGCTTCTTGTTGGTGCTAATTTTCTGATTCTTGCCATCGGAACAAGATTAACTCATAGCAAAAGGAAAGTACACACTACGATTCAAAAGAGTGCACTCATAGACATGGTGCCATATTTTCTGAACCAAACAATTGAACACATGATGAAAAAAATTTTTTTTCTATTCTGAGAGTGGATGACAATCAAGCAATGTAATTTGGATGCTCAAAGATAAGCATCCTGGAATATTCTGATAATTTATAGGAATAATACAACAAGGTGTTTAATCAGGACTGACCTGAAAAACCTAAGACCTGCTATTGTATTGACAATATGATCTCCCCCACTATCTCTCTTCATAGTACAGTGATACTAATCAGATTCAGAGAAGTGTTGATAAGTGAAAATACAACTTACCAGAATCATTAGTGCATGAAAAACATACAAGCCAAACAGGATTCTTTGACTCAACGCAGATGTTTATTGGAACAAATGTGTAGCTACTCACAAAAACAATAGCATTTGTTGCTAATGAAGTTGGCATGATCATTATTGCAAAGAACATTCATGGTATGGAATCACAGCTACAAACTCTATTCTAGGGAGGTGGAGTTTTGTTGCATAGAAAAGGGAACCTAAGAGGCAGCACATTTTGAATTTGGAATGGGCTGCATTTGGAGGTAATGAGTTTCCCACCTCTAGATAAGATGGTCCTAATAGACACTCCCACCCTCTGCTTCTTTTTTTTTTTTTTTTAAATTTTTTTAATGTTTATTTATTTTTTGAGAGAGAGAGAGAGAGAGCAAGCACAAGCAGGGGAGGGGCAAGAGAGAGAGGGAGACACAGAATCCGAAGCAGGCTCCGGGCTCTGAGCCGTCAGCACAGAGCCTGACGTGGGGCTTGAACCCACAAACCATGAGATCGTGACCTGAACTGAAGTCTGGCGCTCAACTGACTGAGCCACCCAGGCACTCCCCAACCCTCTGCTTCTATAACTCTGTGAGAAGTTTGGGTTTCTTGAAACTCAGCAGCAGTGCAGGGGCTGATAAATGCTTGTTGATCAAGGGTAAGCTGGAGTTCCAGAGCACATTTAGACATTTCCTCAGAATAAGGATAAAGGGGAAATAACAGGATGAACTGGGTCCAGCAAGAAGCCAGTATTTATGCACAAATCCTGAGGCTATTTCAAACGCTATAGTTTCCTGACTTTTAGAAGAAAGGCTATTTCAGATGGTGATTCTGATCCCAGAATCAGAACAATGTCCTTTCTCTGTTCCAGGCCTAGTAAACCCACCATTTTTGTGGGAGAAGCTAGTGTAATATGAGGAAAACCTGAGTGGACATTTACTCTTGTGATCCTTCCACCTGGAATGCCTCCCTCTGTTTTACCTGTGGGAATGCCCACCCACCTCAAGGGTCAGTGCCAACATCATCTCCTCTAGGATTCCTTCCTGATGTCCCCTCTTCTTTCGCACGCCTCCATATCAGAGTGGCTATTCTTTTGCTTCCATGCTGCTCCCAAACATAGCACTTGGCTGGGTTCCTTCTGTTCATGGTAGTCACTTGTGGATGTGTCAGTTCCACCTGTAGGAGCTCCTGGAAGGCATGGACCATGCTTCCCTCAACTTGGTATTCTCCATAGCCCCGTCGGCACAGCCTAGCACATGGGGACACCTGGGCAGTGCTGTGAGGTAGGAAGCTATGGGGTTTTGGAATGTCTTACAGCAACTCCAAAACTTTGCATTGCAATTCTTTGGTGTCTGAGATAGAGCTCCAGCTTGTCTGACATATATCTGATGAAGTTGGGTACCCATTGCCATCTTCCCTTTACAGCATGGACCGCAAGGCCCAGAGAGGTAGAATGACTTGTTCATGGAACCAACAGTAGGCTGTGAATTGCTGTCCCTGAGCACTCAGCCTAGTGCTTAGTTTCTGTGAGTTCTCACCCCTCAGTATCTTCATCTTCCAACAAGAGGTTCTGACTGAGTCCACCAACCGCAGTGCAGGTTAAGAACTAGAATCTCCCACGAAGACCAATTTTGATAAAATAGAAGACAGGAACCTGGGGCTTCTGACCCTTGAAGAGCTTAAATCTCAGAGCTCTGGAGGGGATGAGGTCTCCCCAGAGAGGAGGTGGTTCTTGGAGGGGAGAGGCATTCTGCCTGGGAAACACTTGTGATCTTGCAGTGCCAGGGCATTCAGGGTGAGGGACAGGGTGTGAAATCAGTGGCACTGCTGCTTGGGTTTAGCTGGGGACATAAGAAGGAAGAGTTCAGGGGTCTGAGTCTAGCCTACCAAGGCTGACCTTGTGCAGCTCAGGTTCCCAGGAAGGGTAGGAGCAGATGCTCTGCTTTGGAATGTGGAAAGTTCCCTTGGCTAGCACTTGGCTAGGTGACATTCTTGGAAACCAGGACATGGTAGATGGGGTAGGGATGGGGAGAGCAGTGGATGCAGTTTTGGGTCTGCATCAAAGCTCTGTTGAACCTTATAGTAATTTTTGCCTTTTGGTTACTTCAGCTTCAACTCATCTCATTAGAGAAACATGTCTTCGTTGGATCTTAGACTGTCAGAGCTGGGAGGGTCCTTTCAGATGAGGGGAAGGGACTGGCATAGAGCCACACAGGAGCTGGGGGAAGAGCTATTTGTAAAACCTGGCATCTGACTTCCCAGTCCACTGCTCCTGGTCTGCCCCCCTCCTCCTGTCTCTCGGGCACTCTCTCAGTTTCGTGTCCAGCTCACATTCACAAGTGCACTGCTATGGGACAGGCTATTGGACTAAGAAACTTGTCACTTTTTCTTTTTTTAATGGGGAACATGGATTGGGACTGAGAAAAGTGCACGGTAGCAAAGAATCATGGAACATTTGCAGGCATATGAAGGAGATGATCAAGGTTGAGGGGAAGGGTACACACTGAGCAGCCTTAAGACCCGACGGGATTTGTGGGAGAACTTCATTTGCCTGGTAAACACAATGACTTTTGCTAAGTCATGTTTATTGAGGACTTATGTCTGCACTGTGCTAAGTGCTATGTATATATTAATTAATTTTATCTTCATCAGACTCTTCTGAGGTAGGTAAGGTATGCCATTTTTATAATATGGACAAAGAAACTGCCATTCAGAGGTAAAGCCACCTGCCCAATGATGCAATGTCAGTAAGTGATAGGGCGTGGGTTCAGCCTTGTGTTCTGATCACTCAGCTACTCTACTCCTTTACAGAGTGTGGAGAGGGGGCTGAGATACCTCTTTATTGGCCAGTAATGGGTGGGCTGAACGAAATGGGTGAAAGGTGAGGGGTGGCCATCTTGCATCAGATAATTCTCCTGTGCTGCTGAGTGACCCGGGGCAGGCGGTTGGGGGTGAGGAACAGAATTCAATTCCTTATCCTGGTGACCCTCTGGATCCAGTCTGTGTTGTAGTAGATGTAGGAATACACTCCATAGCGGTCCTTCTTTCCACAGTCGTCGCCCCAGGACACCGTGCCCACCAGGTACCACTGGCCTGTCGCTTTATCCAGGGTCACCATGGGGCCTCCGGAGTCACCTGAGCAAGCGTCCTTTCCCCCTAAATGAAAAGGAGATGCATGTTAAAGCTTTCCTCTTCCTAGCCCCAAATAAATCCAAAGGAGCCTCCTTTTCCCTACATCTGACTTGCAGTTCAGAGAATTGAACACGAGGGGGCGCAACAGACCATGTGACCCAAACCTGGACTCCACAGTTCTGTCTGGCCTCCCGAGAGCTCAGTGATTTCAGTTATTGCAGGCAGGTTCGGGACTCTCCTTTCATAGGGGAATCCTTGGGCTTGGAGATGGGAATGATGGGAATTTCTTAGCACTCGTTTCTCTGACACAGTGTAATTCTCCAGTGGAATCCTTCGTCTCATGACCTCCCCCATTCCTCTCTGAGTCCTCCTCTGTTCAGCCTTAAAGACTGGACGAACTCCAGTTCTTCCATTGCTGGTGGTGCCCTGTTGTATGCCATCCTCTTGACTTACCTTCCTTCTCCCCAGCACAGATCATGTCCCTGGTCACTTTCTTCTTCAGAGGGGCATAGGCCTCTTGGCATGTGCGGTGGTCAACAATTGGGATTTCAATCTGGAACATAAGGCCATTGTTGGCTCTACCCCTGGCTGAGGAGTTCTTGCTGTTCTGATACCCCTAGAGCTGGCTCCTCCCCAGCTCCTTCCTGGATGAGCTTAGGTCGAACCTTAGACCTGGTCTCAGAGACTATCCTATTGTGCAGGTGAAGGAACACTGAAGAATCGGGAGATCATGTACTGCTACAGTCTTAGTCATGAACTTGCTGTGCGACCTTGAGCAAGTCTTTTGCCCTCCCTGGGCCTCATTTTTCTCATCTGTAATAATACTTGCCTAGCACATTCATTATTTCAAATATGGGAATGTATACAAAACATGGCCAATCTTCTCCCCCCACCCCCATCCCTACAATTGCTGGCTGTGGGACCTGCGGCATATAGTTTGCTTACTGCTTTTCAGACCTCTGAGATCGCTTCCTCATCTGAGAAGTGGAAGTCACACTACTTGCCATACGAATCACATGGAATGGTCCAAAGAGGAGATGAATAAGCAGATAGTTTGTAAATTACAAACACCGGATAAATGTTAAGTCCATAGGGGTTACCACTGCTTGCCTTACAGCAGGCATCACAGTAGTATGAGCTTCTGGACACTGGGTTTGTATTTTGTCCACTTCTACTTACATAGCTTGGGACAGAGTCAATACTCAGGGAATAGTCTTTTTAACTGAAGCAATAAATTGATACGTAAAAGTAAGGTATTGTGATTATTATTGCCCTGGATTCAGCTTGGGGGTAAATGTTGGAGCAGATGTCTGGAATAAAATGAAGAAACATATGAGTCTCATTTACCCACACCAAGAACTGAATGGGTCATGGGACCCCAAAGTATATTTCTTGTTGACCTTTGTCATTTTGGTCCCTCTTGGGCCATGGTCTTCCCAGATCACTGGGGAGAGAAACTTAGGGCAGAGTGGTCACAAGCACAGAGTGGTCACAAGCACATATCTTCAGCAGACCATCAAGTGCCTGACTGACCTCTATTCATTGTTCAGGTACTAAAGTGTTATTTTCTCTGGAGAGCCCTTCTGCACCCTTAAGATGAGGTTGGATTTCCTGTTATACATTCTGGAGCCTCCTGCACTTCTTCCTCATCACATTTATCGTGTTGGTAACTACTTTCTGTCCCCCTCACTTGACTAAAAGGGCAGATCCAGTCCCTATGAGATCCAGGGACAGGATCTGCCCTTTTACCCCCCTGCATACCTAGTAACTAGTACAATGTCCGGTACATGGGAGGCACCAAATAAGTACCTGGAAGTTAACAAAGGAAAGGATGAATGGCTGTTGCAAATCTGAAATTTCGAAGTGTGTTAAAATAACATATGTTGAAAGGTCAAAAATTAGCTGTGGCAGTCACTAACCCCAGTCATGTCAGAGTCAGGCAGATCTTGGGGGGGGGGGGGCGTCTAGCATTGCCCGTAACTTTGCAGCTCGAGATACTATACAATGGTCTAGAGAGGCAAATGACTTGTTTAAGATCACCCAGCAAATTAGTAGGAACCAGTACTTGGGGCTATGGCTCCTTACTTCTGGTTCAGTGTTCTTTTAGGAAATGATATAAATGTGAACTCCTAAATGCAACTGTCAAGTTTATTACTACAAGAACTGCAGCTCTCAAGAGCCCATTCTTTAGCCCATTCTCTGGTACGTGAATCTTTATGGTATACTGATGGGTCACCTTTTGGGGTGTCCAAGCCTGCTGTTTTCTGGAAGAATTTCCATAAGCTGAGTCTTTAATATGTTACGGAAATACTGAACAATGTTTAGAGACTAGTGCCCCATGTAGAACAAACAGACCAAACTTGTTGGGGTTCAAAGTCCCAGTGAACTTTGGAGGTGGGTCTGGGCCCCTTTTGTCTCTCTCACCCAAAACTCTAAATCCCTGAGGGGAACATGGAGCAGAAAGGGTCAATGCAGGGCAGAGGCATCATTCTCTATGGGACATAAATTGAACCTCACCTCCATCAGTGTCTCTGGGAACCTTTGCAAGAACTGTTTCCCCCAGCCACTGACGATGACCATGGCGCCTGGAGGAAGGAAGACACAGTGAGAGAAGAGAGGCTGTCTGTGGGGTTCTCAGAGGGTTGAGTCTTGCTGTCCCATCATTCCCTGCATGGGAAGGAAGGGCTGAATTTGTCCCCTTGGAGAACGGCAGCATGGTGGAGAGGAGAACTGCTGGGTTGGAGCTTACCTGCAATAGAGGTTTGCACATTTGTTTCTAGGACTCATTAGCTGGCTAATTTGTTGTCCAGTTTCTCCCGCTCCCAACTAGCATGGAACTTAGGCTCCATTAAGTTAGTAGACTCAGCTTTTTCTCTCTTCCCTGCTATATCCCCATGCCTCCAGCAGTGCTGGTGCATAGTAGGTGTTCAATCAATAATGGTGAGAAATTAAAAAGTTCAGCCTTGTCCACAATGTGCTCTGCTGCCTTCGGGGAGCCCCCTCACCTCCCTCCCTTGCTGAGGCTTGGCTTCCCTGTCCATAAAACAAAATGAATTGGCTGGACTTGGTATTCTCTAACACCTCTCCCAGCCCTGATGTTCTAGAAGTCTATGGAGTTGGCAAATATTGGGACAGTGTGGAAATGGGTTGAGCTCTGATAGAGCAATCATTTCTTCATTTGAAAAAGAGTCTGGACACTGGAAACAGCATTGGGTGTTAAGAGGGAAAACCTGGCTTCTGGTCCCAGCTACGCCTCTTACAAACCGTATCTTGGGTAAAGTCACTTCACCTTGCGAGGACTCATTTTCTCATCTGGAAAATGGGACTACAATACCACTTCACCAGGCTTTTAGAAGTAATAAATAAATTAACGAAAGCAAAGCAACTGGTACGTGGTAGGCACATGACATCTGATAAAGCAGAGTCATTGCTGTGCCTTTCCCGTTGGCTCAGCTCTATTCAGCCATGTTTTATAACTTGATCAAACCGAAGAAGGTTAGCTATGATGCGGCACTACTGGGTTTAGACCAAGATGAAAAGAAAGCCGATGTGTTTGAGTGTATTATTGAACTTAAATATCACAGCCACCCTATGGGGTATTATCCTCTGTGTAGAGGTAAGGGCCTTGAGGGTCTAACACTGTCTCAAGGTCACCCAATTGGGAAACGGCAGGGTGGGGTTTTGAATCTGTGTGGTGATGAAACCATCGTCTCTCGGGCCCAAGCTTCCTCTTTACTCTGCTTTGTGATGCTGCAGATGAGGCTCTAAAATGGGAGTTGTGCTTTGTTGAGGAGGAGGGGTCCCAGAAATAGGGCGCGTTTCCAGGAAGCCTTGCTGTTACTGTTGGCATTGCCCTAGCCCTGGGGGCTGGCCCTGGCTATTTCCCCAGCACCTCAGCACAGGGCTTTCTCCTCGGGCTTCTGAGTCCCCTTTCCAAGTTTCTAGGTCCTGTGACTGCCCCCTCCCCCCTTTGTTCCCCCAGCCCCAGGAAGGGTGGGTTCTTCCCGTGGGTACTACCTGTGTTACATTAGCATTAGTATCCCCCTTTACTGCCCTAGTCCTCCAATGCCCTGTATTAAATTCTCTCTCTTGCGATAACTAGTCTGGTTTCTGTTTTCTCATCTGGATCCTGACTGACATAGTATTTACAGTACTGGTCAAGCCTGCCTATTTACTGTGTCCTGCCATGGAGCCGGTTCTGACTTAGCTGTTTTAGGGGAGGCAGAGGAGGGATCACGCAGACATGGTCAGCAGGCTCGGCTGGCACCAGAACCTCTCCAGGGCTGGAGAAGAAGTCCCTGTGAAGGCACCTGCTGCTCTGCAGAGGCGGGAGCAGGGGTGCGGCAGAGTACCTTCCTGTGGGGGCCCCTCGGGCAGACAGATGGGCATCACATAGTCGTTCAGCACCGGGCTCTCCAACAGCTCCACCAGAGCCACGTCATTCTCAAATGTGTTGGGGTCATACAGGGGATGGAGGAAGAAGCGTTTGACTCTGAGATGCTGTTCATTCTCATCTGACCGGCGCCTCCAATGCTTACCTGGGCAAGAGAAGGCCCATGAGGCATGGGGGTAATGGAGACATGGAGGGTAAGATCACACCTTGTCCCCTGTCACCCCCTGTCCCATCCAGCCTGCTTTCAGCCTTAACCCTTTTCTGCCTCTCACTGCTCTTTTCCCAGCCATCCCCTTACTTGACTTCTGCAAAGTCATGGGCTCCTACCTCTGGCTTTCTTCTTGAACTGATCCCATTGCCTTATAATCCTCATTCTGATGATCATTGCCACATGTCCAAACTATATAATCACACTTCAGTGCCTCGGTCAGGTGTTCCCTCCTCCATGAAGCTTCCCCGATTCTTGCGTTAGATTCTTCAGTTAGAAGTCTCTTTCTTGTGAATTCCAATGGTGCCTCATCTGTTCCCCTCCTATAGGACTCTGCTTCCTATCTTATACTAGAGGTCTCTGTGTTCATATTCATAGTAGGCTGTAAGTTCCTTGGGGTGCAGGAACTGGCTCTTAATTACACTGTGTTCTTAGATCCCAGCATAATGTCAGTAGGTAAGTCTGTGCTGAACCGAACTGAATCAGCTGATGGTCTAGATTTTATAAAAGAGAGGGTCAGCTTGGATCATCTGTGTGTGACTTACCTGAAACCATGGATTCATAGAAGCCTGAAGTGTCTTTAGAAAATATCTAGACTGGGATCCTTATTTTACTTATAAAAACTGAGGGCTAGACTTCAACGACTTGCTCATGGTCTCACTGCCTGCAAATCATAGCCTTGGGCTAGGACTGAGGCCTCTGGACTCCAGTTCTAGCTCATTCTTCGTCCCAGGTGTCCTGCCCTGATGAGTGAGTGAGTGGACACAGTCCATGCCCGGAACCACTGTTGGCTTCAGGAATCAGCCTGCCCCTCACTCACCCAGGATGATTTTGAAGTCAGAAGGTCTGATCAGGTCTGAGTCCTGTAGGGCTGGGTATTCTGGATTGAGTAACTGGTGGAGGCAGTGAGCCGCGGTCACAATCCAGCTGGAGCCTGAGAACAGAATTTTACATATGTACTGCCCTAGACTGCCCCCTCCTGCCTTCTATTGCCTTGAGCTGAGAGCTTCAGACTACTTCAGGCTTTCCCCTTTCCATTGTGTTTCACAGCCGAATTCAGACACTCACTTGACCCTAATCTGAAGATGAGGATTTAAATCTGTGATTTCATCTATCTATTCTAACCAAGGGGCCAAGACTGAACATCTTCAATGGGATTTTAGGGCTCCCTTAAACCTATGGGCTTGGTGAACTCCAGACAGCCCAAGATGGGTCCGCAAAAAGCCTTGTGCTTGCTGGCTACCCTTTAGGCATCAGCCTCAACTGGGAACTTCTTAGAAATGCAGACTCTCAGGCTCTGCCTCAGATTTACTGAAATAGAATCTTTATTAATTCTATAATAAAATCTGGGGATTTTAACAAGACCCTCAAGTAATTCCTATTCATATTAAAGTTTGAAAAGCACTGATCTAGCACGGACATGTCCTTACCTGACTGTACTGTCAGGAAGGTGAGTCAGTGAGAGACAAGGCTGGCAGCCTGGGAGCTGCCCAGGCAGATGTGGACCCATTCAGGCCTTCTGATCTCTCAGAGATCAGACCAGGAACTGGCCAGGGACTCTAGGTTGCTATTCATTTTCCCTATGATGTCAGAGCTGGAATGGATCTTTGATCATCTGGACCAAACTGCAGTGGGAAGAGCCGCCAGCCATTTCTTTCCCACCCTTACTCCCTTTCCCACCCACGTTCACTCCTTGCAAAATCCTGACAGTCCTATTTCCTAATCCTTTCAAATCTGCCTTATTTCTTTCCCTTGTCCCATGTCCTCATGCTGAGGCTAATGACTTCCCTCCCTACAATTGCAATGGCTACCTCACTGAATTCCTGGCTTCTGGATTCACTCTTCCTTCAATCCGTGTTACCCCGGCAAGAACTTTCCAGAATATGTTTATAAATCTGCAGCAGCCTTCAGGATAGATCTAAATTCCTAAATATGGCACTCAGGGCCTTTGTAAATCTCCCTTCCCTGACTTCTCCAGGGTGAGTTTCCTGGTTCTCTCCAGTCCCACAGCCCTAGTCACCATGCCTTTGAGCTGCACATAAGTGCCTTGTAATTCATGTTTGAGGGTCTGACTCCTTGACTTAGTCCTTCCCAGTGCCAGAGACTGACCAGGACTAATAGGTGTTTGTTGACTGAAGGAGCAACCTAGAGCAGGAACACATGTCTCCTAGCTCCAGTTAAGGACTCTTCCTACCACACTGTCCTGGGTCCTGCTACTAGTGTGGACAGTGATTCTCAATGAAGAAATCTTGATCAGTCTCTAGAATGAAGGTTGGTTCCCTTCACTTTCACCCAGTCCCCGAATCCTGGGTCCCCCACCCTTTCCACATCTCCTTACCTAGAAGGGAGCCCCCACAGAAGGGCTGCTCACTCCAGTGTGACAGCATGGCAATCCAGGGGGTGGTGCCCTTCTGGGCTGGGCGTCCATTGAAGATCCTGGCCATCAGCTTCCGGGAGAACTTGGGGAGCCCACACACTGCAGCCAAAGGAGGGAGGGACAGATCACACTCTGGGCTTCATCTTGCTCTTTGCTAGAGGTATGAGCTCATCATTGTCTTTTAGGAATATCTATTATTTTTTATTTCCCAGCATTCACTGCACTTTAAGTAACAGCACCCCAGTTTTCCTCTGGGGTCTACTCTTCCCTCATTCTTAGTCCATTATGTCCTGAGTTGGAATGATCTTACATCTGTTTCCAGACATAGGAATGTGACCCAGACCTAATGAATTAAATCCTCTCATCCTCAGGGGACAACAATTGCTCAGAGATGGGAATGTAACCCTGGCTAGCCCAATGAAAGCTGGCCTTGGGAATTTTGCTAAGCGTATTAGAAAAAGAGAAGGCCTTTCTCTATTGGGGTTGCTAAGCTGCTGGTTGTAATCCAAGATCTATCAATGATCACTTCATTGAGAGTCTTCAGAGAATGATGCTACTAATGGGAAAAAGTGAGTCTAGATGATGAAGGATGAAGCAAGAGAGAGATTGTATCCTGATATTTGGGTTCCTTGATCTAACCATACCTGAAGTCTTGTGATTTGGACTTTTTAGCTATGTGAGCCTATAACACAGACACACTCTCTCTCCCTCCCTCCCCTGCCCTCTCTCTCTTCCCTAAGCTATTTGTATTGGGTTTCTTTTACATGAATGAAAGAGTCCTGACTAATAAAGAATTTTCATGCTCTATCCAGGGGGATCTCTTCTCAGAGAAGCCTTTCCTCAGGGCCTTGGGGGGTTGAAGACCCCTCCAAGGGTCTCCCTGATCCATATTGTTTCCACTGACTTGGATTCACAGACACAGACACACAGCATCTTACAGCTGAACAGCCTTGGAGACCATCTAGTCTATCCCTCTCATCATACACCTAAGGAAACTGAGGCTTTAAGAAGGGAATTAACTTGCAAAGAGCTACTTTATGAGTTAGTGGCAAAATTCTAATCTAGGTCTCCTGACTTCAGGGCTTTTCCCACCGTATCCAGCACCACTAACTCTTACTATGTGACTTCCTAGAGCACTCATACCCTAAGCCCCTGGATCCAGGTAGCCATTTGCCTTCTTGGTAGCTGTCACCAGGCTGCTGAGTAGGGCTGGGGAAATCCCAGATGGATGTGCTTTAACCTTGACTGCATCTTCAGTATCTTCCAGTAGCTTCATTCTACATGCCCTTGGCTAATGTCCCAGGCTAATGTCCTGTCCCCACTCCCAGCAGAATATCAGAGCCCACTGGGTGGGAACTCTCCCAAGCATTCTCTCTCCATCTTCCCCTGTCTATAAACCTTTTTCTCTTCAGAACTAATTCTGGACTCTGGATCTTCTCACTTCCACACTCTTGGGGACCTGGCTTGGGAGATTCTCATCCCTCTCTGATATCTTGAATCTTTCCTTTGCCCACACCTCCAAAACATGGCCAAGTTCTCATCCTAAAATCGCACTTCCACTTTCCTGGCTTCTCATTCATTCTACAGTCTCTCCTTCTCCTCCCTTCCATAGCCAAACTTATGGAAAGAGGAATTGACAGTTAGTCTCCACATCCTCTCCTCTCCTTTGGAGGTGGATTTGGAAGAAGAAAGTGCCAGACTGTGCATACACTTGGAAATAAAGTGGCTATTTGGACATTTAGTAGATCCACAACAATATATGGAGGTAGAATGACTCTGGGCCCATACATAGGACTTCAAAAGACATGTTTTCATGTGTAGGAAAACAGGATTTGAAATTTTCTGTCATATATTCTCTATCTCCAGGAATTCCCCTTGCCCTCTGGCTCCTTATTATTAAAGCTGAGCATCCATTGTTTTAGGTGAGGCTGGATACAATTCTGACTTTTGAAAGAGCAAAGTAGAAAGCAAAGTTGGAAATTTAAACTTTCATTTGAAGAGTCAAGGATTGTGGTAAAAGATTTGTAGGTTTCAAGGAACCCAAACCCAGAGAACTAAGCATATAATCATATAATTTTTACTATAAGTCATAGAGAAAAGTGGATGTAAGGATAGTTGCCTGCCTCAAGAGAGAGAGATAAAACCTAGGAAAAGTCTGGAGACAGAGGGGGGAAATGAGGGAGGGAGAGAGGAAGGAAGGAAAGAGAGAGAGAGAGAGAGAGAGAGAAGAGAGGAGGAGGAGGAAGAGGAGGAGGAGGAGGAGGAGGAGGAGGGGGGAGAGTTGGAGATTTAAACACAGCAGGGCCCTGCTTCCTAGAGCCTCTGAGTGGACAGTAGAGGCTGGGTCCTTGTCCCTGGGGAGTGTCCTGCCTGGAGGTTAGCTTCGGACTGTCCTGTGGCATTGGCACTGTTGAGTACTGTACCCTTCCTGATACTGCCTCCTTGGTTTCTGAAGCACTTCTCTTCCTGTGTTTCTGACCCCTCTTTTTGGTCTCTTTCTTGGAGTTTCTCTTCTCTCCATGCCTTCCATGCTGCGGCACCCTTGATCAGTCCTTGGCCCATTCTTCTGGACACTTCTGGTAGATAATAGCAGTCTCCTGTGCCATCCTACTGTCTATACTGTATCCTGATGGATTCCAAATCAGTATCTCTGACCTGGCTTCACTTCTCAGTGATTCCCTTCTTGCTTATTCATTCCTTACATCTCGAGCTGGATTGCTCGTGACCTTCTCCCCTCTGATATTCCAGATGTCTGTTAAGGTCTGCATAGATTGCATCCTAAAGCTGGTAAAAAAAAAAAAATCACCAGGGGAAGTAGAGAGTAACGTGACTCCTCCCTGCCATGTCACAAGGTGGTTTCCATGTAACCTCATGATACCTCAGTGTCTCGATATGTCACAACATAAAGTCCTAATATTTAGAGGATAGTAAAAATCTGACACACATTAGAATGCAAGACAGGATAGTGCTCGAGACCAGCTACATATACAATGTCAAGCATAATTTAGGATTCTTTTAGTTCTCAATAGTGTAAAAAAACATGATATTTTCATTATGATACAAACCCCAAACAAAGGCAAACCATGAGCACATCCATGGAGAGCCCTCATGAGCAGGTTAGCTGTGCCCCCCCTCCCCACCAGCTCCGTGCCTGCACTATTTCACACCAGGCCTATACACTGAGCCCTGCTGAATACATCATTTGGATGTTTTAAACTCCCCCAGCTCCCACATCTGCACCGGCTTAGCCATAGGTCTGGTGGGTTTGCACCTTTTTCTCCAGCACCTTCCTCCTCCCCCCACTTCCCGCACTGTGCTGCCCACCCTCAGAATCCTCTGCCGGTGAGACCCAGGAATCTGCATTTCTAAGGAGCACTCCGGTGATTCTAATATACTCCCAATTAGAGAGTCACTGGTTACAGGACATAGTGCAAACATCGTATGGCCTTTAAGATTCCTTCCACCTTCCCTGATTCCCTGATGCACCTCTCCACTCAGGCATGCTTCCCTGCTTGATCTTCATCCACACTGGCCCTTCTCTCCTGTCTCCTGGTGTGTTCTCTGCAGCCTGTTTATAAAGCTCCCCAAATCCTCTTGAGCCCTGTGACTCTCCCGCCTTCAAGTGCCCACAGTGCTGTGATCTCTACTCTTCTTACAACACTTCGCTGCTTTCACCTGTGTGAGACAAGGATGCACGTGACCCTGTCTTGCATGCTAGTTTGGCCTCTTTGAAGTCCAGGACTTAAATGACAGGTGCTTCAGTGAAGGCACACACAGCCCGGGGGGACACAGGTCCATAACTGACTCCATTCCTCATTTTACCCTTTCTTGGATGATGTCCAAATGACAAAAGTTGTACCTTTTCTGTAATGGGAGAGAGAGTAGCTTAATGCGGGGCCAGTCTCCTTCAAAAGGTCAAAATACACAAACATCAACAATAACCAAACCTCAGAATGAAGGCTGTTTGTTATCCACAGAGGGTTTATTTCCACTTTAGACCCCTGACAGGAGAAACAGAGCACAGAGGCACCTTGCAGAGTAGTGTAGCTTGTGGTATGAAATATACAAAATACAGCATTCTCTATGTGCACTGTTCATAGACATAGGAGTGTGTTTCATGAACTGATTGGACAAGTGGACACTTCCCAATGTTCTCTTGGAATTCTTCTCAAGAGACTTCTCTGGCTGCCTTTCTCTGATGGAGAATCCCCAGAAAAGCAAGCTCTGGGGAGGAGGAACACAGTCAGCCCTGTGAGAGCCAGGTAAAGGCTCTGGCAGTCAGAAGACTGAATGCTAGCACTAGAAGAACGCTGAGAGGGATCTGATGTCTTCCTTTTCTAGATGAGGAAACTGAGGCCCAGAAAGGGAAAGTGATTTGTGAGAAGTTATACAGCCAGTTAGGGGACTGGAACCCAACACTCTTGGCTGCCTCTCTCTCTTCCCTGCAAGAGAAGTCTTCATGGGCATGTCTCTGCTTCCCATGACTCGGGCTCCTGGAAACCGGAGGGGTGGATCTCTCTGAACATCCATGCCAGGTGGGTTCTCTGAAGAGCTCAGACTGTGGGCATGCTGGGCAGTCTGGTGAGATCGGGTTACTCCTAATGTCCTGAGCCCACCCTTCTTCCATTTTCTTGCCCAGAAGCCCAACAGGACACAGTGTGGGCCTTCTCTTTTTCTAAACAATCCAGTTGGGTCTCCACGCCTAGGGCTGGGGCTCAGGTCGCCCTTTCAGATGATACACTTCAAAGCTGGAAGTTTGCTTCATGCTTGTCTGGAGCGGCAGGTGTGGACGCTTATGTTGTCAGCTGATATTGGAGAGTAACATATGGGTCTAAATGATGTGTTCAGAATTGACAATAGGAATTTATCAGGGATGGGGGGCCTCCCACTGATATTCTCCTCCTCCTGGTCACCACAACACCTTCCCAGCTTTCTCGTTGTCCTTTGAAATTCCTTTAATAGAGAACACAGGCATATGGCTTGGACTACAAGAAGCTTTTGGGAGAGAAACCTAAGGAACAAAAGTACGCCAAGGTATCACCCTAGGAGACAGGGCCTCGGGGGTCTGATCCGTGTCTTCTAAAACCCTAGAAGAGACT